TAAACAAATGAACAACCAATAGATCTTCTTTACCGATGGACTCAATCTACATAAAAAAGCACACACGTTTTACCATAACTTTTATGAATATATTTATCAATTAAAGATATTTCATTATATGCAGTTCAATTTAATTATGATTAGAACCGTACCATAGTTTTCATATGATGTTTAGAAGTTGCTTGATTGTAACTCAATCTGATATTCATGTATAAATAAAATTTAGGTATGCCTGCTGTCCTTTCAGTTTTTCTTTCCACGTCATGATAGATTATCTCGACATAGGTTTTGATGCGTATGATCATTGATGCATACACTTTCACAGGAAATGTTAGATCTGTGGTTCCATTGGTCACTAGGCTAAATTGTACAGAAATCAACAGGTATAAATTTATACAACTCTTTATCAAATGCAATAAATTTTGAAGATGGATAAAATAAAATTAATTGCAATAAACATCAACATCGTTATATTTTTTTTAATATTAAATAGCATGAGTTCAAAAGAGAGGGGGAATCTGAAACTGTTACAAAAGATAAAAGACAATAAAGAATTATATTTTTTCTGCCCATAATATTGAGAGTAATACGGTAATTTTTGGAGTACTTGAGCAGAAGTTATCTCTTAAAAATCTAGATAAATATTGACTTCATCTACTTCAACGTCAATCATACAAACTAGTCAATACCAACTTTAAACCGCACGTCTTATTTATATACATATATATTAAATTTGACTGAAAAGGCATACGTTTTGCAGCAGATTTGTCGCTTTGAACAGTTAATATTAGCTACAGCTTTGTTTTGTTTGAGCACATAGTGTGTAACCGGTTGACAGGGGATGCTTACTCCTCCATCACACCTGAACCTATCTCTGATTTCATGTGTCTGTGTAGGAACCGCTCTTAAAACATTTTTGTTATGTAATCCTTTGTGTTTTAGTACATTATATGGCATAATAGATTAGGATATTTAAAACCTGTACATTAAGTCACCTGTAACCGTACATTAAGTTGTCAAAACTCTCAATTCTTAACTTAATCGACAGCGTTTTGTCAACTTAATGTACAATTAAAGGTAACTTAATGTACAGGTTTTAAATGTTGAAAACAATACATAATTAAGTAGGCAATTAAATTTTTAATTTAATGCACGATCATGCATAAATATCAAACAATTGTACAAGAAATGTTCAACAGTATATTATCTTTGGAAATGACAAATCCAATGCAAAGAAGACACGTGTAAATCCTGATGCTTAATAACTCTAGAACATCCACATCCAGAAGTTTCTTTATTGAAAAACAAACGTCTCATCCTCATCACAAAAAATGAATGCTGGACGTCGTAGATCCATACCATGAATGTTTAAAATATATCCAAGAGTAATTTAAATTTAAAAAGAAAAAGGCTTATTTCCAGATGAAATGATAATCTCACTAGATGCACTGCAGGTGGAATCATTTTTGGGACAGAGATCACAAATTTTATCTTTTCATACACTTGCTATCATCTGAATCCCTCTTATTTCAATGAATTATTCCAATTACTCTCTGCTGCTATTTATTGTTGGTTCAATTGTAGGATCAAACTGTAATACATTTTTGGCCCATTTTTTCTGCTATAAACTGTTTCCTCAAACTTCATACAAGGGGGTCGCCGTTGTTGTTCTCAAAGAATGTTTCGTATCACAGTGTCTCTTAAATCCTGATTGTTAAAAAGATTTGCAATAGCTTTTGTCAAAACTTGAACACCAACTTCAGAATCTGCAAAACTACAAGCTTCTGCTTGTGTCAACCTACTGTAGAGTATTTACCACTCTTTGGCCCGTATTTTGGAGAAATATGTATTTTTTTCTCCATCCGATGAGGACACCATCTTCACTCATGAAGCTTTACATGGGAAGTGGTCAGAAATTAAGTGAGCTAACATTTAAATCTAAATTTACCTGCCAGTGGCACTGTCCAATCAGTTAAACAATACAGCTATTGTTTTCATCCCTCACTCTCTGGACAATCAAGTGTGTTACGTAATCATAGGAAATACATAACCATCACCTGGGACAGTTTATTAAGTTAACAATAGAGAAAATGTTTTAAGTAGGATAAAGTCCTCAAACTGTCCATTCTGTGAGAGAAAAAACTATTCTCGGCCCTTCGGGCCTCGAACAGTTCTTTCTCTCACAGAATGGACAGTTTTCGGACTTTCTCCTTTACATAACTTGTGTTGTTGAAATGGATTTTTTCTCTGTTCATAATCTTCACATTTCATTCATCCAGAAGTCGTGCGATGCAATTATACACTCATATAAAGTATAAATTGCATGTTTAAAGTAAGCAACTTTTAGACAACAGAAAAATTAAAAGGATGTTGATGGAGTAGCAATTTATTTAACTTGTGTCAGTAAAGAGAAATCTACAAGTTAAAACATTACACTAAAACGATCTGGAATCATCTAGAATGTAAATGAGACAAATGTATGTTTCTGACAAACAAATAATAAGATATATATTACGTCGAATAGTGTAATGAACATGTGTGACATTTTTGCAAGTAATTATGTAACCCATTGATCAAGCAACAACAGTTACACAGTCATATTATCTACTGAAAATTATCCATCAAATAGACCCTCTATCTGCTATTTAACAAATCCTCATTAGCTAGAAATAAACCAACACAGTAATATATCACAATGAAAATCATTTCAGTATTTAGCAGATGTACAACGACTATATAAAATAATTTGGAACGGGATCTTTTTAAAAGCACAGTTTGGAAACTATTACATCGTAATTTACGAGGGTTGATCCAAACGTTTGTGGAATTTCTTTCTAAAATTTTATCGTGATTTGATGAAATTAATCAACAGGCATATTCATAATATAGAGTCATAATGTAACAATATTGGAAAATTTCACCACTTTCCAATTACCAATAAGGTCACAAGAGCTTTCCGAAAATGGATAGTTGGGAAACCCGGGGGAGACTTTAACGTAACGTCAAGTAAGATATGTCACGTCACGTTCTAGAAGCATTTCGCCCAAATGTCCATTTATAACACATAATTCTACAAAATGCCGCCTTTTTCTCCACTTTTTTTTTTTCAAGAAAAGCCTGGGTATCCTCTCTCACCAACTTATCTTCATTTTTTACTCATATTTTAAAATACTACCCATCTTTCTATATGATGTTTCAATTTCAGTAGCAATGTCAAGAACAGTACGGCAGCCGACAACGTCCATTAACGCTTTTGTCTATGGGGATACGTACTTAAACAGAGCCTCTAAAAAGCGACCACACCTTTTATCAACGTCCATGGAAGTTCTGTTTTTCTTAAATTTCTTGTGCCACTGGAAAACCAGCAACTATATGATTTTTCCCAAGCCTATATCAATAATATACACGTTTAAGATAGAGTGATCCCGGGATTTTCACAAAACGTGTGACTTGACCGAAATTTGACGTTATCTAACAACTTAAAGATTAACAAGAAATCATCAACCTATAAACTAAATATCCAGTAAAATCAGTAAACTCTAACACAGAGGTTTATAAAAGATCAAGCAATCGTAAGAATGACATAATTTTCGTTTTTTATACCACATAGGGTGGTTTAATTCTTATTTCACGTATTAAGAATTAAAATGATAATAAACGCGTTAATGTCTCCCCCGCATTTCCAAGCAACTGCCATAAAGTTACTATCCAAGATATTTAAAATGTTTTTTTATTTTAAAATATTCATCAAGTGTCTATAATTTCATTTGTAATTTTCAACCAATTCCACTGAAAAATAGATAAAATATGAAGAAATTCCACGAACTTTTTGATCAACCGTCGTACTATATTTTTTGCTTAGCTATACTACCACTTTACACCACTCTAATTCTAAATCCTATTACCTTTACATGTAATACCACTTTACACCACTCTAATTCTAATTCTAATTCCTTTGGGCCACAAACAATGTCCTGCTTCATTCCTACAAGAACAATCCTTAGTTTTAACCATGATATGTAGCTGCCTATAAAAACATTTAAATTCCGTAAATCTACTCTATATTATTAAAAATCAAGAAAATGAAAATGTGGATGCACATAATAAAAAAATGACATCAGCATTTTATCTGAAATCGAATAACAAAAAATAAATAAAACATAAAATGTCTTGATAGGTAAACAAACCATTAAAAACTATTTAACATGGCTAGTAGATATATACTCTAAATATTGGGTAACAGTACCTGTGTAGGAATTGTAAACTTCATTTATAAAGTTAACAGAGAAATCCAGAAATATTCTTATACAAAACATTATGCACTGGAATTTAAGATTTGTCGCCATTCAATATTAATGTGTTATAACTTTTCATGATTTAGATCATACACAACCATTGTTAATGTAAAACTTTCACAAGATTGAACAAATTAATTTTTTTAGCCAAAACTAACTAAGTCTTAGTAAATATTTTGTAGTTACAAAAATCATGCAGTAATTTTTAACATCAGGCGTTACATATTCAAAAATTCCAGTTCCACATCCCAAAAAATGAATATAATACCAGATAAATCATTAGTGCTCCATTGAAATATACCGGTATCTAGTCAAACAATTTGTTTTAAACAAAACAACCATATTATAAATGCCTTGTGCAATAGCCTACTTGAAATGAAATTTTGGTTATAATGTCAAGTATCTTAAATGAAATTAAGTAAAACACTTCTTACTACAATTCTATAAATAATTATTCAACGCTAAAAAGAATATCTAGTTATTTCCTACCATAGACAAATTTAATCCCAATTACTAGTAGACTCTATCACGACAAAAGATGTCTAATTAAGAGTCATGCATGAAGTTTGGTTCATCAATTAAATCATTGGAATCTCCGTCAGAATTCTATCTCTTCAATTTCTTTGACGTCCTTTTTTGATACTCAGAATAAAGAGAATAAACAAAACCAGAATGCAGGCCCCACAGACCCCTGCTAATACGTACGCCACAATGACCACGGTTTGGTTGGATTTCTCTGGTTTGACGTAGGCATGATTTTCAACCGAACCTGGAATAAGAATAGCAACGTTGATGCACAAAAAGAATGTTATATGTAAAACTAATATTTTATCTAAAATAGTGTACACATGTTCAGGTATGATCTAGAACACTTAAGGTCAAAGGTCAAGTCATTCAAAATATGAAAAAATTTAAGCTCTTTATATAGCTTTTATGTTCTCCGCCAAATTTTAAACATCTTTGCATATTGAATATGTACTCTTAAAACCATTTCAAAGATTTCATGCTTGTTCCCTAAGATTGACCCCTCTAAAAGTTAGTGCCCCTTTCAGCGTAAACCTTTGTTATCGCTATACTCCCCCGAAACTGTAAATCGTAGAAGTACGAAACCTTCACCAATGTCTGCGACTAATTTAGTACACTTTTTAATCTATTCAGTGCGAAAGAATTCGTAAACCGTTAATGCCCCTGACAGTTTATGATGTTTACGAAAAACTAAAAACTTCTTAATGAGAAGTCGTAAAGACATGAGTCTAACTGCATGAGATCCTTTGATCTATGACCTTGAAAATGAGGTTAAGGTCAGAGATCAAGATCATCAAAATATGAGAAATACAGAATACACGTAAGGGGGAGGGTGTTAACTAATATAAATGTGTGAAATAAAATTTCACGCTTCTATTGCCTTGTTTTCTTCTTGAAATACATGTAGAACTCCACACAGAAGCTTGTTTCAATCAGGAATTTTCTTTCTGAACCTGCAAGAAAGTTTAAATTCCAGTCTGGTCGCCTTGAGTGAAATCCATGTTTTCCCATATGCCGACCTACAGACAATAAGCCTCGAGTTCGAACAATATAGGCATACATCATATGTCAAGTATATGACTTTTCAATTCTATGAGTAGAATGTTTTTGTCTTATAGTTTCCATTCTTAAAGACAGATTCTTGTTGAGAAGTTGCTTCATCCTAATTCTTAAGTAGAAATATTTGTTGCTATGCTTGTAATTCTGTTGCTTGGGAAAAAATAACTTAAAATTTCTTTTAAAAACCTTGTCTGACAGTGCCGAACTTGGGCAATAGCAATTCAATTATAAGAATCAGATATGTTAAAAACTTTAATGAATATGCTCTAAAAATAACTTTTATTGCTTCGTTGCTAGGGAAAATTTACTGTTGCCAAGGAAGTAGAAATTCTTTTAAAAACCTGGTCTGGCCATGCCAAACCTGGGCAATAGCAATTCAACTCTAAGAGTCAAATAATATGTTAAAAACGTTAATTGATATGTTCTAAAAATATCTTTCAATGCTTCGTTGCTAAGGAAAATTTACTGTTGCCATGGAGATATCTTATTTTAAAATAGTCATAGGTACACAAGGAAGAATATTTTATGTTTTTTATTTTTTAAATTGTTTTTGGTACTCAATGATTACAATTTATATGATTTTTCTACCAATACTTTAGACTTTCACCATTTTTAATTTATCAAACCATCCATTTTTATTGCCTAGCAACAGCTAGAAAATTCAAATTTGCAAAACTTTTTATTTTAAATTTTAAGAAAGCCTTTCCTGTAGTTTTACAGGAAATAGATGAAACAATTGTACTAGGATGGTGAAAAGAATAATATGTACTTGATTTTTACTAAAATCAAGCAAAATGCTGAATCAGCAAAAAATGGGAAATATGTACCTTTAGCTGTATCTATAGTAAATATATTTAAGAATGTAATTTCTTTTTATTACGTTGTCAGAGCACTTCAAGAGTTATCTTTCTTGTGACACTAAGGAAGAATAGAATTACTTTTTTGAATTTTTTGTACAAAGCCTTCAAAATGGGTAAAATTTCATCAATCTATAAAGAAAAATTGGCCTGTTGCTAAGGAAATTTCTGTGTCCAGGTTTCCATAGTAACAATGACCCAAATTATTTTTCCTTCCACATACATGGCTTATACCCCGAGGAAAATCTGTGAGTGAAATATCATTAATTTCTGTGAACCTCATGTATCACCTTTTATATATAGGCTGCCTGATTCTTACATGGACCTGTACTTAATAAAAGTTTTTTGTTTGTTTATTGTTGTTTTATTTAATCAAAGAGAAAAATCAATATTTATATCGTAAATGCACACATTATAATAAAGACCATTAATCGGAATGTTATATAGCCAATCGTACATAATGAGAATTTCGGCAATGTAAAATAAAATTTTAAAAATTAAAAAAAAAAATGCTTTTTGATTAAGAATAAAATTCATTATCGGCTGCAGCAGTGGTCGATCTATTTGTGGTTGTGTTAGAAAGTGCAAATGGGGAAATGAGAGGTAATTTTTTAATCAGTTCAGTTAAAAAACTTCTTAAATGACAAGTAAAAATAGTGAGTAGAATATTTCAAAAACTTGATTTAAACTAAGTAATTACATTTCAATTTCATTATCATTTTTCATCAGATAATTGATAATTCATGGTTAATAAAAAAAGTTTACAATAGGCACTACCCAGTCCTGGAGTGTGTAAGATATGAAAGGATATCGTCACGATTTTCCGGATAATAATGACATAGAAAAAATGCATGGTGAATAAAAAATTGAAAAGTTTTCAAAACTAGTAAAATGTTTTGAATACGCTCTTTAGCTGCAAATGACACAAAGATGTTTTTTTCTACATTTTGCACCGCGGCTTCTTGCAGCATAGCCTATATTCTGGAGAAACCGTGGGTATTATCACGTGACTAATTGCAAGATCCAGGGTATCAGCATAAACTGCCAGTCTAGGTATCAGTGCATCTTAAAAGGCCTCATCAGTAAATTCTTGCCATTCATCATTGACTTTTGTTTTTACATCGATGAATCTATTTATGAGCAAATGCGTTGAAATTTCTATTTATTTACTTTTTTGAAATTATTTAGTTTGCTTTGAAGACAGCCTGAAATAAAAACGATTCAACTACCGGGGATTCACCTTTGAATATCTTGACGTGCTTTCCTTGCATGGACGCTTTTAAAATCATAAAAGAATTTTTTTTAATGCTAAATTTTGTTTGCGGCCGATTTGATGCTTTGCATCAATTTACTTGTTGTATACGAAATGAAATAAACATTAAGGGATAGTATTTCATGTCTTGCTTTTTACGGAGTTTAATCGGGTTAATTAAAAAACTAATAGATTGAGTATGGTACTCATATTCACAGCCAAGCCCAATATCCCATTTTTCTTTTATGATTGATATACATCCGGATCGCTTTACTCATCATTTCAAAGCTTTATTTTGCTATCTAATATGACGTATGCATTGTTTATTTTTTTCCTTCAGAATTTCACAGTGTCAGAAAAGGTTGTCGGTAAATCTTCTACTACTATTTTTAATTTAAAACAAGATGTGTTTGTGAAACACTGTGCCCCCGGCGGCAACAAAGTTCGAAAAAGCTATTCTTAGCATAAAGGTTACAGTCAAGGTCACAAGGTCATTGACCTCGGTGTTGTTTGAAAGCACTTAATTAGTGAAGTAGGCATACCAAATATAAAGTCTCTATCTCCTATGGTTCAAAAATTATACCGAAAGTTCGAAAAATCTATTTTTAGCATATAGGTCACAGTCAAGGTCAACAGGTCATTGTCCTTGGTGTCAGTTGAAAATGCTTATTTAGTGGAGTATGCATTTTAAATATGAAGTCTCTATCTCGATCTGTTCAAAAGTTATGGCAAAGGTTAAAGTTGATAACAAATAGAATAAAAGTAGGTCAAACTCCAAGGTCAAGGTCAAGAGGTCAAATTTGGTGGTACCCAAAGAAAGGTCATGTCACAAGTAACACACCTATGAATTATGAAAGCCATAGCCCCAACCACTCAATAGTTATGGGTTAGGTTAAAGTTGGGGGACAAACAAACAAACAAACAAACAGACAGACAGACAGACAGACAGACAGACAGGACAAAAACAATATACCCCCGATCTTTCGATCCGGGGGCATAAAAACTGAGAGGAAGCAAGATGTGTTTGTGAAACAATGATGCCACTGTATGAAATTATATTAAAACGAGGGTTGAAGTTCCTCAAATAGACGTCAAATTCCAAGTTCAAGGTAAAAATTGTTGGTATCACAAGAAACACACCCTTGGAATATTAAAGCCTTAGTTGTTCAAACGTTATGGCCAAGATTAATCTGAATCTTTGATTACAGGGGTATAAGAATTTAATAGTGTACATACAATTCTTCAGATGGTTGATTGTATCATTCAGTTTGGTAATGTCATTTTGCTGGGAATTCGTCCGCATCTGGATCTCGCTCTTCATTTGTTTTTGCTGCGTACCCAAACTGAAAAAAGAAGTTGACAGTCCTGCTGTATTATTGTGTACATCCAACAGAGAAAATGTTAAGTTTTGTATTATCATATTCTGTTGCTCTTCGTTTGTCTTCTGTTGCTGCTTGAGCTTGGAAAGTGTATAGTCAAGAATTGACATGTTGCTGTGTACATCCAACAGAGAGAGTGATAAATATCGGTCTCGGAGTTCCAGGTCCTTGATTGTGGCAGACACGTTCTTCATAATTTTTTCTTCACTGTCTCTGACTGTCTGCTCTATTTCGAACTTCAAGATGTTCTCCAGCTTTCCTAAGTCTTCTGATGTTGTCAAGTTTTGTTTTAATAAAGTGGATGAAGAATTCTTGTTTTGTAGTCTTTCTTTCAAGTTTTTGTTTTCGCTTTCTAACAATGATATCTTTATTTGGGCTGTTTGATTCCATTGTCTCAGCGATTTAATCTCTTCTTCTAATAAGGTTTGCTTCTGAGCTTGTTGTTCCTGATCCTTCTTTATTGAACTTAAATCCGTTTCCAATTGAAGAAGTTGTTTGTACACATCCGGATCAGAATGTCCATTAGATGCTGAAGTACCATTGGTTTGTCCATGGACCAACAAACTCTCTGCTTTTAAAAATGTACATAGAAATGCCATAAAGGTGCTTGTAATCCCATGCATTTTGGTATAGTAAAAGTCAATTCACACAAGTCAACTCATGTGATGTGACTTTATCATAAAACAAATTGATTTGTTTTTATCAATTGATAAAAACCGAATCAGATGCACACTTTAATCTTTTATTTATGTTTACCTTGTAATGAAATCACTGGTAATTATTCGTGCATTATGAAGTGATTAGTGATATGAAAAAAATGAATCAGCAGTCAACTATTACATACCAGTATTTATAACAAACTTAAACGAAAACAAATATTTTCCTTCGTTTTGGGTAAATTACTGGACGGAGTCCGTTTAGAATATTTCTCTATGGACAGAAAAAGAATTTTGATAATATTTATTATTTTTAAGCATGATATGTCAATGCCTGTATCATATAAAATATCAGTTTATTTATTTGTTAGTTGGCATAGACAGTATTAATTCTTAAAGTCTTGAACAAGTATGTGGAGTACGATAACACTGTAAGAATGAGGTGAAATCCTGGTGAAAGCAAAATTTGAATGAAATTTCCCAAGGGATATAAAGCACAAACTATACCCTGGAGTATAGCTTTACTACACGTGAATTTTTCAGAATATAAAGATAAATATGCCCTTCTGACACACAAAGTTAAATTATAATTAAATACAAGTTACTGCAAATTAAATTTGAACTGGGTGTTCACATGGAAAATTAAATGCAAATTAGTTTTATTCAACTAAATTTACTGTGCATTGAATTTCATGTGAATTCAGCGCTAAGTGAATAATTTGAATTAAATTCAGATGCATGGGTAATGGCAGAATTTAGTAACATACCACATATCGGCGGTTAGATATAGGTATCAGTGCTACATTAAGGAAAATTATGTTTATCACTAAAATCTGTACATTCACTGCAATAGATCTGTTTTGCATATATGGCATGATTTGCAGATGGCGCCATGAAAGTCTTAATTAAAAGCCTTATTACTATAGGAATAAAATTTTAATATGCATTAATTTACTATGCATAAGCTGTTAAGTAAACACGATTTCATTTTCGTTACCCTAATTCGCATTATTTTTATTTTTCTGTGAATTAAACTCTCAGTGACAACAGGATATCATTTATTTTACCTTCTAAGCTTTATATAGGACTCAGGAAATGCTCTAACAGAGGATTGTTTGATTGATTGATTGTATATTGTTTAACGTCCATCTCGAGAATTTTTTACTCATATGGAGAAGCCACCACTTGCCGGTGGATAGCTGCAAATTTTGTCCTATGCTCGGCACTCAGGGCCATTGAGCAGGGAGGGATCTTTTTCGTGCCAGCACCTACTGCGACACAGGACCTCGGTTTTTACGGTCTCATCCGAAGGACCGGTCTCCACGTCCAACAGTGGGATTCGAACCCGCGACGTAAGGATTGATTCCTTACATCGCCACTTTAGAGCAGACGCTTTAACCACTGCGCCATGCGGGCGACTTCTAACAGAGGAAGTATAATCATAATGCAAGGTATTCATAAAATGTATCAAACACCATACATGTATATCTATAAAATTTCTTGATATTATGAAACTATTTTAGCAGATAAGAGTGAATAAACATAAATGACATTGAAAATAATAATATTTTTGTTGAAAGTGTGGATGGCTCTATATTCCTTGAAATTCTTCTCATGGAAATACGAGGAATATCTATTTCATATTCTTCATTTAAGAAAAGAGAGAATTTTTTTTTTAGAGAAATTCCCTTGTAGAAGAAATAGAGAGATTGGGAAAAAAATAAAATAAAATAATACAGATATTTTGGATGAAACGTAACCCCTGAAAATTTAAGAAAAGTTTAAATGCAAGGCCATTTAATTAGATCCTGTGCTAGATTGGTAGAATGCCGACAAAATATTTTTATTGGCACGCCAAATTCACAAAAATAAGCTAAACCTAGTTTCACATTTGATAAACTAGGTTTATCGACTGTTAACTATAGTTTACGAACCGTAAACTATAGTTAACGATTCGTTAACTATAGTTTTCATCTGTAAAACTATATTTAACGGTTGTTAACTATAGTTTACGAATGCTAATTTAAGTTTAGCTGTCTGTAATAAGCGTTAACAATAGATTCACGTTTGTAAACTATAGTTTACAATCGTAAACTATAATTAACAGTTGTTAATCATAGTTTCACAAATCGTGAAACTATATTTATCAGATCGTTAACTATAGTTAACGGTTTGTAAACTATAGTTTACAAATCGTGAAACTATATTTATCAGATAATCTATGTTTTGCGATCGCAAATTATTGTTTCCGTTGTTAAGTAAAGTTAACGATTGTGAAACATAGATTATCGCGTTAACTATGGTTTACAAATGTCAAATATAGATTAATGTTGTTAACTATCGTTTACAGTCCGTAAACTATAGTTTACAACTAACAAACCTAGTTTATCGACTGTGAAACTATGTTTTGCTCATTTTTGTGAATTTGGCGTGCCATATATTTTTGTAATTTAAAATCGAGAAACTATATTAACAAAATTATTAAAAGGGTTGAGATTGATGAACAACACATTGCTTATGATTACAGTCGCACCTGCTGTTACGGCCACCCTTAATCAGCGGCCACTCCCCATGAGCGGCCAGTTTCAATCCCGCCCGATCATTTTTTCACTATATTTTAACTCATTTAAGCGGCCACCTGTCTAACGCGGCCAGTGGCCAGTGTTTTTAGGTCCCGTGCGCTCAACATGCCTGTTTTCAGCGGCCATTTTGTCTGTTTTGTCACATGACTTCCGTCTGACACGTGACCTCGTATCCTCATACGAAGCCAAACATGAACAGCTGATAATGAGTTAATGACCAATAATTGCAGGTGTAAATTGAATTCTGTCAGGATTTAATGATTTAATTAATATGATTAAATGATTTATTTGTTAACAAATATTTTTTGGTGTTCTTAATATACGAAAGTGATATAAACTCAATTAATAGGCTACATATTAATAACAATTTCTTCTGAGGTTATCAAGTCAAGCGGTCAATCTTGCGTTTTAACCTTTCATGTTATATAAATAAATCTGTATCTAGAGAAATTAAAAAGCTTTACACAGCATCAGGGAAATGCTAAGTTGTTAGAACATTTCATGATTTCCTGTGATGTAAATTCTATGGCTGTACAATTAAATTACCAACACACATACACAAAAAAAAAACAATAACAGATTTTTTTTAAAAAAAGATCATGTAAAATGAAATGTAAAAAAGGGATTTCATGTGACTTAAAACTTCATAAGTTATTAAATGTGTTGAAATGGGATTTGGAGATGTGTGAAAATAAATATACAACTGTGGTCGCAATTTTTTATTCATTGGTTTGAAACCTGGAATAAGTGGCCACCTGTCTTATGTGGCCAATTTGACATTCTCCCAAGAGTGGCCTCTTAAAACAGGTTTGACTGTAATTTGAAATTTTGAGGACCGTCTCTTCACAAGAGCAAAGTTTTTTTTTCTGGACATTGAGAAAAATATATTGTATAAAGGATTTAATATTGAGCTTATTTTTTAAATTTTCAATGTGTGGTGCGTGACGTTTACCCCCGGGAAAAATGTTCAAAGACAACACAGTATCAGTGAATAAAAATCACTATAAATTACATCAATAGAGAAAATAAATGTAAATAATACGTTTAGTTAATTTATCTTGCCCTTTTAAAATGTTTAGAATACTTAAATTTAGTATAAATTGGGTGATATTTTGTAAATCTCTATTTTATAGAATTTAGATCTAAAGGCAGATCACTCTAAGTGCAGAAAAATACCTAAGAATCAGAACTCTTTAGCGTGCAGTGTAGAAAGGGTTCTTAAATCAAGTTAAATCTTTTTATGAAGAACTCATCCGTATTCTAATAAAGATTCAGAATGTATTGACATGGATCTGATTGATATTATTGACCCAGCGTTAGTTACAAAACTTGACGAGATGACTTCTTATATTTTTGAGAATGATATAGAAGAGAGTGAAATTTTATATGTTCTTAAGAATATAAAAAATAACAAGTCTCCATGGAGTGATGGTTTTACTGCTGAATTTTTCAAATTTTTCTGCATAGATTTGGCATGTTATATTTTAAATGCAATTAACTGTATTTTTTCAAAGAAAGAACTTCCAATTTCTCAGAGACTTGGGATTATTTCCTGTATACCCAACCAAGACAGTTTTTATTTTACCAAAAATTAAATCAATGATCCAACAATGGAAAAGGCGAATACTTACACCTATCGGTCATGTCACCATTGTAAAAATACTTATTTTACCATATTTCCTTTTGCAACCTTAGAGTTTGCTGAGAATGAGCATTACTCATTCAAAAGCATTGCAGCTCAACAGTTATAAGCGTAATTTCCTTAGCTAGAAAGCAGAATTCATTGTACAGCATATTTAGACAAAAAAAATTCAGACAACCGGATATATCTAGTGAGGTGATATGCATTTAATGTTAAAGTATTAGTATCAAATTTTCTTTTGTTTTTCTTCTTTCATTTTTAAACACCTTTATGCTTTTCTTTCCATTTTCAGCAATATATTAAATCTGTTAGGAAAAAGGACGACAGAGTTCGTCTGATTACAAATAAGAAGTTATTCATTAATAGTCTTATCATCTATTCAAGTGATATCAATTCACTCTTAAAAATATTGATTTTTGAAGAATTCATACTAAGATGTTCTTGTTTGATTTCATTACAATTTTCCCAAAAGCTTTGTAGACAGTGGAACTTATGAAGGTTTATGCAACAGTGATCAACCATATCAAGACTTATGTCCAAGTATATTTAAATATCGTGAAGGTCAAAGTTGAAAGGTGTAAACACAATAACCTTGATTCAAGCCAATTAATTTACAATTACAGTCATTAACATCCATATACTAGTGTTTAGTGTATAAATGATATTATATTGTCATATCAATTCACAATGAACTAACGTACATGTATTTAGGCTGATTGGCAAATATCAAGTACATATGTAATATAAGAATCAAGTATTACATTTTATGATTTTAAGGAAATGTGAATCATTTTATGATTATAAGGAAATGTTGATTCATATAGTTTATTTTATAGTTTCATGTACTTGCTGATCGATTTGAGTTGGATATCCTGTAAGTGAAGTAAGTGTCAAGACAATATAAAATACCTATGGATTTGAAAGTTATCATGTCACAGTGGTACTTTATTCTAAGCCACTAATCATGACAACAGAGAATGTTGTGTCTGGAAAATATGAGTAAATATGACTTCCATATTCCACTTCTATCCAGACTCTGTCTCCCACATGTAACTGGTGGACAACAAGGTTGGAGGCTGCTTGGTGTACATTAAAAGATGATGATGTCCAAGCCATGACTCCAGCCATAACTGAATCTTTAATCATAATTTTTGTCCAGAAGGCTTCATGGTCATATGCCACAGTAGTACAGAATATAAGATAGAGCCCAGCTTTTGGGGCAGTAAATATTCCTGTTGTAGGGTTGTATCCTCCTCCTATCTGGTAAATGATTGTTGGGAATTTAACTATGCCTGTATATATATGTTGTCCGCTTACCTCTCCTACAATTCCAGCTGTAAAAGCTACACGGGACTGAACACCTAAAAAATACACTTGTAAATATATGCATGCAATTCTATTTAAGTCATGATTATGGTATATTGAAAATGCATACATGTAATTCAATCAGTTATCATAAGTATTGTAATATATGACCTTGTCTTTAGTCAGCAACGTTAGGGTATAGGTTATGTTAGGACTATTATCATTATAAACTGTTATAATATATAGCTGGAGTTGTTATCTATATAATCCATATTTCTTAGCAAATGATGCAATTTTGAATATTTTTCTTCGATACAGTTTTTATGCATTAAACCAATTGATTGACTATAATAACAATATTTAAAGCAGACACTTCGTGATTTCATTTCCAAAATACTTTTGTCCACCAGATGAGACAACTTTTTTGAAAACAGGATATGTGAAATTGTAATAAAAATAGAAAAACTCTTTAGTGTGAGCAGTTTTAAAAAGAAAACAACCCTCGGCCCTTAATCCGAGAAAGTAGATGTTATATATTTTTAGTAACAATTCTATCATCATGTGGAAAAAATAATAAATAATAATAATAAATATCTTTTTGAAACATCCTTGCATATATACAAATTATAATCTTATTCTTAATACTTAAAAAAGCACACTTTGAAAAAATTATTCAAAGTGCTTAATGTTTCAAAGTGCGTTGTAACGATGGTTCACATTTCTTGGGATATGTTACATATTTTTTATATATTTCATCAGTTTAGGAAGCCTATTAATTTTTAAATCTACATTGTTTTATATGACTTACTCAAATAATATCGTGACTTAAACGTTGCTTGGGCTTTTCGCACTGACATATATCATATGCGTGTTTGAAGACTACCTTTATCTGGAAAATGTTAAAACTACAAACCCCGGGAAGCGTTTTATTGACACATGCTCATGCAATGAAATAGAGTAAACTTTATCCAATTAATGATAATATATGTCATGTAATAAAAATGTCTTCTTTATTGAATACTTTGAATATTCATGTCAAAATTATTACACTGAAGGTCCTGTTGGGTAGAAATAGACATTTCAAATTATAAAAAAAAAAAGAAAAAAACGTAACCAGCTCCCTTTAAATTCTTTGAAAAAATATATACTTATAAATTTCTCAAATATACATACGATTCTTGAGATGGATGATAGTATCGTTCATTTTGGTAATGTCATTTTGCTGTGAATTTGTCAGCGTTTGGACATAGCTCTCCATCTGTTTCTGCCGCTTATCCAAATTGGAAATAGAAGATGATATCCGTGCTGTGTGTCATTGTGTACGTTAAGTAAAGAAAGTAATAAATATCGGTCTTGTAGTTCAAAGTCCTTAATTGTGGCAGAAATGTTCTTCATCATTTTTTCTTCACTGTCTCTGATCGACTCCTCTATTTTAAATGTGAGGATGTTCTCTAGTCTCTTCAAGTCTTCTGATGTTGTCTAGTTTTCTGTTAAATGTTTTTAGGTAGAGTTCAACCTCTTAACTTGATCTTTCAGAAGTATATTCAAATTGTCTAGTCTTTCTTTCAAAATGTTGTTTTCACTTTGTACATCTAACAATGAGTCCTCAAGGTTTGTTATCTTTGTTTGAGCTGTCTGTTTCCACTGCTTCAGAGTTTGAATCTCCTTCTAATATGGTTTGCTCTTGTTCAAATCTCATGTTTTGTTGTTTCTGGTCCATCATTATAGAATTTAACACTGTCTGCATATGATGAATTTGTTTGTTCACATCAGGATCAGAGTGTCCATGAGATGCCGAGGTAGCATTGGTTTGTCCATTTAACAACAGAATTCTCTGCGTTTAAAAATGTGCACAAAAGTACCATATAAGTGCTTTTAATCCAGTGCATTTAGGTGATTTGTGATAAAGCTCGATAATTCAAACAAGTTCAGATGGGTTTATCAAAAATAATTTTATTATCATCAAATGAAAGCATGCAAACTGTAATCTTTGACCTATATTTAACATATTTGCCCCTTTGAACTAAGATTCGGGGGTATATAGTTTCGGCTTGTCCATCCGTTTTTCTAGTTGTCTGTCTACAAAATCTTTTAACTTGCCCATTTTCTGGATGACTGACTAGTTTGAAATTTGTGGATGAGTCCATTACGAAGTAACTGCAATGAAGCCATATCTGATCAAAATTGCTTTTTGTTGCATCTTGGGATATAGTCATTTAAATAAATGACATAATTAATCTGAATGTGTTTGATCTGATTTGTAACAAATTTAGCCAAAAAAAAAAGCTGTTGTGAGCTTGGCTAGCATTAGAAGACAAAGATAACTAGTTAAATGTGTGATTTAATATATACATGTTTTTAATTTATATAAAGGCTTGTATCTCTACTTCAAAATATTTTTTTCTTGTTTTAGTAATTGCTTTCTTGTTTATCGGAAGCTAAATACCACCAGCACGAAATCTAACACGGTTTCCATATGAAGTTGTCTGTACACATTTGGATCAGAATGTAAATTAGGTGGTAATGTAGCAGTGATTTGCCCATGAAACAACATTAAAATATGTACATAGAAGCACGAAAACTCTCATTACCTACCAGCACGTTTTGAATTAATTTGACAAATAAATAAAAGTGAAGAATTTAATTTCGCTGTCGTCATAAACATAGAAAAACAGTATAATGTTGACTTTATGATATATATCGGTCTGGGAGTTCAAATTTAATATATAACTTGATTGCAATAGATATATTCTACTTCATCTCCTCTTCTTGATCATTTATTGGCTGAGTTCGAGGGCAACATGCGTTTTATCGGACCCAAGAACCAATTTGTCTGCCTGAGGCCGTTTGGTTCGAGGGTCTGACAAAACGCATTTTGCCCGAGAACTCTGTCAATAAATGTTTTGTTATACCTTTCGTTTTATTATATTTACATTTACTTTGTTTGATCCTTATAAACAGCAATATAAAGTGATAAATACACATAACACACAAGACCAAATCACCAAAGTCTGTCTTGCGTATGAATGCAGGAACTACGCCATTACAGTTTACACAAAGCGAAAAATTAATGTCTGTTACACTATTCATTTGTATTTCTTTTTTGCAAAAATATATTTTATCGTTTAATATTGAAAAATAAATTAAACTTTGATTATTGTTATCTGTTTAATGTGCACTATTTTTGTTTCCGGATTTAAGTTTATGAGCAAACGAACTCTGGCGGGAAGATTGGATTAAGCTGTTCCAAAGGCTGTTCTATCAATTGCAACTTACATGAAGGATAAGGCGGGAATTTTAATTAGAAAAATCTAAATTGCGGAAAATACAGGGTCTAAGAAATGTAAATATAAGCATTGAATTATCATTTTTTGAAAGATGCAGTCTCATAACTGCAATGTTGTGTGCAAACAAATTTTCATAACGCGTTAACTCGCGTTATTAAAATTTGTTTGCACAAACCATTGCAGTAATGAGACTGCATGATAATTAAATGCTTAATTATTTTTTGACATATATGTATTTTGTACTATATTCCGTGATGTAATATCATGTCTGAGACTGTTAACACCAACGAATGAAAATGAGATTAAGCTCCGCCCATTCTGTGAAGTAAGCGGTCCAACATCTTAATCAGCGGTCCAACATCGATTTTTTTATGCCCTTTCAGTAAAACATTATGAATGCTAGACTTTTTTTCGCACAGATTTGTAAAGGAACATATTTTTAAATGTATAACAATTTCATTTACTTGTTTGTTAATAGAATTTGATTGTTGTTACCTGGCATTATAGCTGAGCAAAAAATACTACATAAAAGCAACAGAGAGTTTTGAAAGAGTGCTAAATATCCTTCTTATATTTTTTTCTTTTTATTTTCAATACTTGGTGTTCATCGGCTAAATACTGAAAAACAATCAATGCGATCTTTATATTTGTTTTTCTCAAGATTTTAAGAATGTGTTAAGTAGCTAATAGTGAGAATATAATTATCATGGAGAACTATAGCGAATTTTCAGTAGATTTATTTGTTATTCATGTATAGCTACTGTAATTAATTGATCAATGGGTTAAATTAGCTCTGTTTGTTCCTTTGAAATATGTTTTGGGGTGTGTACAAATACTGCACTCTGATTGGATAGAAAAATATTTACGTGTATAATTATGATGTACTAGTATATTTATAGCAACTTTCAGTTGTCGCTCTTGACTTACATATTTGGAAATCGTCCAGACTTGCTAAATGGATTGTAGAGAGATATATTTGAAATAACCATGAAATCAATTCATTTAGATATATGCCTGTTTTATAATTAGGATATATGTATCTTAAAGGGCAAAGTTGAAAGGTGTAAACAAAATGAGCTTATTTCAAGTCATTTCATTTGTAATAGCAACATCAAATATTTAATGAGTAAATGATACTTTATTTGATATTAATTCATAATGAATATATATATATATATATATATATATATATATATATATATATATATATATATATATATATATATATATATATATATATATATATATATATATATATATATATATATATGTTGATAAATATCAAGTAATACATGTATAAGAAGAAGCACTACATTTATTGTCTTGCATGAATGCTCATTTATAGTTCATGGGGATTTTTAAGCTCATAGTTAGAAGATAATATAGAATACTTATGGCATTAAAAATAATCATGTTATCATGGATAGTCTTATAATGATCCATTGATCATAATGACAGAAAAGGTTGTGTCTGGAAAAGCTGAGTACAGATGATTACCCTGATGGACTTGAATCCAGACTCTGTCCCCCACCTGTAACTGGTGGACCACAAGGTTGGAGGCTGACTGATAGGTATTAGCAGATCCACTAACATAAGCCATGACTCCGGCCTTAACTGATCCATTAATGGTAACTTGTGTCCAGATTATTCCATGGTTATATGCCACATTAGTACAGAATATGAGGTAAAGCCCGGCTTTTGGGGCAGTGAATACTCCAGTTATGGGGTTATATCCTCCTCCCACTTGGTATATGACTTTTGGGAATTTTACAGTACCGCTATAAATATTTTGCCCGTTCTCTCCTAATATTCCAGCTGTAAAAGCTATTCTGGATTGGACGCCTAAAAATATACCAGAACATAGAATACAGTTCTATTTGTCAAAATTTTATATAGTAAACTAATTTTTTTAACAGGGATAACTGTGTAAATTTAGGATATTCGATCCTCAAGTTTTGAAAATAAGGAACTGAGTAATAAAATATACTCACAAAATGTCCCTGTATTCTCAAAATAATATGTTTTACCCATGGTATTTCTTCAAACTTCATCATAAAAGTTAATAATATTATATAGGAAAATTTACAGGTGTATTTTATCTCAAAAATAGTATTCAGGAAATGCAATTCAAAGTACATATACCTGCAATACATTTTCTTATTGAAAATTAAATAAAATATATATTTTACAATAAAAAATAAAAGGTATCTAGGAAGAAGAAATCTTCTGTATCCAAAAGACAAAGTCATGAGTCCATAAAACACAGTCTTGGTCATATCTCAACAAGACAAAGAATAAATATTTTGGCGGTAAAACCAACGACCATAAGAATAAATCCAATAAAAATCAATTTCACAACCAACTACCAATAAGAACCAATAATACTCCAAGATCTTTGAACTGCCTTTAGGTAACTAATTATCTAAATACAGGTGTACAGGTAGGGCTAAGGATATAAAGGAGCGGATCAAACGCTTCATTATATTATTTATTTGGTAGTTTAATTTATTTACATTAAATTTAAAACACTTATTTATTAAGTACGCATGTAATACACACTACTGTATATGGATACCTCAACCACAATAATTTTTTAACATTGATTTAAATGGATAAAACAAAGTTAACAATTAATGGTCCAAGCGATATGTAAAGGTATTTCGTTATATTTTGAATTATTTATTTTTCAGAATTTCACAGGGCCAAAGGAGGCTCTAAATTTAAACCTGTTCTTTAACTATACTATTTGTTCTTTTTAAAAGAACTGAAAGGAAACAAAATCAAAGTATACATACGATTCCTAAGATGGATAATTGTACTATTAAGTATGGTGATGTCATTTTGCTGAGATTTTGTCAGTATTTGGATATCACTTTTCATTCTTTTTTTGTTCTATTTCCAAATTTGAAAGAGAAGACGATAATCCGGCTGTGTTATTGTGTATATCCAGAAGAGAAAGTGATAAATATCGGTCACGTAGTTCCATGTCCGTGATGGTGGCAGACATGTTCTTCATCATTTTTTCTACACTGTCTCTAACTGTCTGCTCTATCTCAAAAGTTAAGATGTTTTCCAGCTTTCTTAAGTCTTCTGATGTGGTCAAATTTTGTTGTTGTGAAGTGGATGAAGAATTAAAGTTGTCTTGTCTTTCTTTCAGAATTTTGTTTTCGTTTTCTAAAACTGATATCTTCATTTAGGCTGTCCGATTCCATTGCTTCAATATCTGAATCTCCTCCTCTAATAATTTTTGTTTTTGTTCAAAATGCTGATTTTGCAGAGTTTGTTGTTTTTGGTCCATTAATATAGAGTCCAAGACTTTTTCCAAATGAAGGAGTTGTTTATACACATCTGGATCGGAATTTCCATTAGATGCCGAAGAAGCATTGGTTTGTCCATGGAACAACAGACTCTCTGCTTTCAAAAACATGCACAGAAGTACCATAAATGTGCTTTTCAGCCAACACATTTTGGTGATTTGTGATAGAGTTCAATAATTCAAACAAGTTCAGTCAGACGGCGTAGCTTTATCGAGAATAAAATTATAATCAACTGATAAAACAAAATCATATGTAATCCTTGATGATCATTGAAATCTTTGACCTGTATTGATATCTCGGGTTATCATTCCTGTGTTACATTGGCCATTCATTTATTATGTAAAGCATCTGTGAACTAAAAATATATTAGGATATTAGAAAATGTTTGTAATTACATTTTTTCCTATTTGATTAAAATCACAGGGTACAAACAAGAATTATTTCTTGTGAATTGCAATATGATATATATGTAATGTGAAGCATATATGAATGACATGGTTTTTGTTTTAATAAAAAAAACTATACAGCTGTATACCAAGTAGAAGGTCAGATAATTAAAAGAAAAAGATTAATCTCATAATTTTTGTAAGGGTTTTTTTTTCCTATTTGATTAAAATCACAGGGTACAAACAAGAATTATTTCTTGTGAATTGCAATATGATATATATGTAATGTGAAGCATATATGAATGACATGGTTTTTGTTTTAATAAAAAAACTATACAGCTGTATACCAAGTAGAAGGTCAGATAATTAAAAGAAAAAGATTAATCTCATAATTTTTGTAAGGGTTTTCTATCTATGTATTGTAGAAATGTCTTAATGCTCCCCCACTGAGTCTTGGTTTTTGAATTTGGGACTTAGACTTATGCTACAAAGATGGAGATATTCCTCACAAATATATTTTCCTCTAGCGTCAGAATTTGCTGAGAATTTGCAACAGCCTTTCAAAATCATTTCAGATTTATGGATATGGATGTTGGTATAGATTTTCAGACCGAATATTGCAGGATTCATTTGAAAAGAAATCTTAAAATATATCTGAACATAGTAATAGAAGCATCTTATAGGCTGTTATGTACTGAAATGATACATGTCAACATACATATCTCGCATGTTGACATAATTAACTCTCATATAAACATAATTATCTTGCTTATACACATAAATAGATAGCTTTTATGATGTCATATATATAGTGGCGTTAGTAAGTAGGTTTACCCAAATGAAAATTATATTCTCTTAAGAGATTAGTAACTTACACGTAAACATTGATTATTTTACATGTTGACGTAAATACCTTGCATGTCTGCATAATTATTTGCATGATATAATAATTTATCTTGCATGTAAGGGTAGAAATGTCCCACAAATGTAACAGTTCATACAGTACATGTATAGTAGTGCACCTTTCTCTTTTGGTTATGTCAGCACTACATGGGTAAATAATGAATTTTCAAAGTGATTATTATTTTTTTTAGACCTTCGGAGGAGTGGATCCCACCCTTCACAGTGGCCCTGTCTACTACACAAACATACACAAACAATGGTACTACGAGGTGGTCATGGTGGACGTGGAAGTAAATGGCGGCACTTCAATCAAGATTGTAAAGAAGTAACTTCTCTTATTGTAAAGAAGTAACTTCTCTTATACATGTATACATAAATATAAATGTGCTATCACTTTCTATGTCTATAGAAAATGTTTGTTCCTTTTTTTCAGGTAGTATGAGTCATACATGTATATCTTTTATAAGGCACATATATGTGTATTCATGACTGCACTGTAAAGCATTTAGCATAAAAGCATCCCCTAACCCGAAATGTTTTCCTTTACCAGCAAATCAAACGTAATTTTAAACTGAACAAATATACGAGGGTTGTCCAAAAAGTTCGGCGCAACGTACGCACTTCCGCGTTCTAGCAATAATCTTTAAGTATAGATTATAATTTATTAAAATTTTAAAATTCAAAACAATGCACAAAAATTTACGAGCTTCATCTAAATAAACATGCACAGCCCAGTCCGACGCTGTGCTAGATTTAAAACAACGTCCATTTTCAGTAAATTACATGTGTTGTGTCTTCGAATTTGTACACATCGTTGTACACATCGTTGAAAAATCGTATATACCAATCTCAAATCTATGTATTAAATATATTTCAATAATTTTGAGTTGTACATGTTGGAAAAATTTTGCCTCTTACGATGTTTCAAACGTATTAAAACTTTTTTGATTGACCGCTGCCCCGTGCGGACGGCCGACGTCGCTTTTTTTGGTCGAGTTTTGACACATATTTATTAGGGTTTTTGTTTAGTATTTGTACTTTCTATATAGTAAGCGTTACTTAAGATATCATAAAATGATAATAGCCTCTTTATTTGTGTTACATGCAATTTTTATTAATTTTTGACTTGTTTTATATAGAAAATAATCATTTTAATCCGAACACTTTATATCAAAGTTTATGTCATTTTAACCTTGGTCCGTGCGCACAATCTGCGATCTTTAAGGACCCCGATTTTTACAAAAATAGTACGTTCAATCAATAAAAATTAAATCATTCTGACTTGTTTTTTCATAAGAATATTTTGATATATAACAGATTTATATAGAACCATTTATTTTTCACAAAAACGTCATTGTCCACGATTTTTTGGACAGTCCTCGTAAGACATGGTTCATTTAAGTACAAATAAGAAATTATTCATTCGGGGGTCTTATCTTCTATTACAGTATATTTCAATTCACTCTTAAAATATTGTTTTTAAGAATTCATACTAAGGTGTTTTTGTTTGATTTCAGTACAATTTTCCCAAAACCATTGTGGACAGTGGAGCCACAGATCTCGGGTAAATTGTAAAGATTTATGCAATATTGATCAACTCAACTACATTAACGTCTCCATATCAGTGAAATATTCTGGAGAGGGACGTTAAACAATATACAATCAATCAATCAATCAACTACATTAAGACCTATGCCTGAGTATATTTAAATATCTTGAAGGTCACAGTTGAAAGGTGTAAACACAACAACCTTGATATAAATCAATTAATTTGCAATTACAGCCATTAACATGCATATACTAGCATATAATGGCTAAATGATACTTCTATTCACATCAATTCATAATGAAATAACGTATATATGTTGATTGACCAATATCAAGTAATATAAGAATCAAGTAATACATTTTATGATTTTGAGTAAATGTTAATTCATATCGTTTATTAGTTTCCTGTAATTGCTGATTAAATTGAGTTGGATATCTTTTCATGAAGTAAGTGTCAAGAGAATATGAAATACTTATGGCATTGAAGGTAATCAAGTTACAGGGGTACTTTATTCTGATCCATTAATCATGACAACAGAGAATGTTGTGTCTGGAAAGTATGAGTAAATATGACTTCCATATTCTACTTCTATCCAGACTCTGTCTCCCACATGTAACTGGTGAACAACAAGGTTGGAGGCTGACTGGTAGACATTAAAAGATGATGATGTCCAAGCCATGACTCCAGCCATAACTGAACTTTAATCATAATTTTTGTCCAGAAGGCTTCATGGTCGTATGCCACAGTAGTACAGAATATAAGATAGAGCCCAGCCTTCGGGGCGGTAAACACTCCTGTTGTAGGGTTGTATCCTCCTTCTATCTGGTATATGACAGTTGGGAATTTAACTATGCCTGTGTATATATGTTGTCCGCTTACCTCTCCTACAATTCCAGCTGTAAAAGCTACACGGGACTGAACACCTAAAAAATACACATGACTTTTAAATACATGCATGCAATTCTATCAAGGTATTTCGATACTCTGATAAGAGAGATAACTTTAATGACATAAATGTCTATTATTCCTTTATAAATTTGTAAAGTTGAAGTGCTTTTGTTGTCCAATTTGCCCCGTAAACCATGCTATAAATGTTTGTATTTTACTCAGGATATACATTTCTTTTGGAAAATCGTAAGATTTAAAGTAACTTTTTATATGAATAGGCAGAGGGTTTTGAACCTTAAGGCATGATTTGGTATATGTCATTCAATCAGTCATCACAAGTGACTGGTATAAAGTGGGTTGGGGCAGTTTACGCTTTATAAACCGCGAAGCGGTTTATAAGAAAGCGTAAACTGTTCCAACCTACTTTATAACGTATAAAATGGGTAGCTATTAATTTCACTGCTTATAATTTAATTTTTATTCATTTGATGGAAGGAAAAAAGATGATTGTTCAAACAAAATGACTTCAATTTGTACAAAATTTGAATGTAACGTAAGGCGGATTGATACGTTTTTGACGAAAGTCATTGTGACGTAGGCAACCTATTTTATACGATATAAAGTAAATTTTTAATCCAATCAAATACAGCGTTACAACTAGAATTAAATTATCATAATATATAAAAACTTATTTTCAAATATTTTACACTTCAGATTAAAAATAAACAAAATAATTCTTCTAGAATAGTTTCTTGCAATCCCCCTTCCTTCACTCACATAATAATCTCAAAAACTATCTGTAGATTATACCTAAAGCATTGAACGTTCAAAATTAAAGAAAAAGATTATGACGTTTATGTTGCACAAGGTGACATCATAATAGAGAAGACGAACGTAACAGGTGATGAAACATTGGGAATGGAGAAAATATTGCCGTTTTTATACAGTAACAACAGTCAGCATAATAATAACAATAGTGTTGTGTTTTGCATGCACTATGCCTAAATAGTAGTCAGGGTTTGACACATAGTGCACTCGCCTCCGGCTCGTGCACCATGTGTCAAACCCTGACTACTATTTAGGCATAGTGCACGCAAAACACAACACCATTATATAAATATAGATGGCGTTATTATATATGTTATCCATATTTCCAAAGATGTTGCAAATTCAAATATTTTTCTTTAATATAGTTGTTTAGAACCATCGTTAATGCATAAAAATGTCTTGATGCAAATGCCCATAAACCTATTGTTTGACTCTCTTTCTTCTGACACATTTCAAATAATAACAAAATTTAAAGCAGACACTTCGTGATTATTTCATTTCCAAAAAAACTTTTTATCCAACAATTAAATGAGACAACTTATTTGAAAACAGGTTATGTGAAATTGCACACTTTAAAAATTTACTTTACGTTGTTTTATATGACTTACTTTGTCACCAAATAGTATATAAATTAAACTTGTACCAATATTTTATATACAAATTCGATTATATAATTCTTTTATTAATTCTTTTCTTAAAACTTTAAAGGGGCTGGAATACATACTGGAAGCTCGTATTTTCTAACACTGTCTAAATAATATCGTTACTTATACAATGCTTGAGTTAAATCAAATGCGTGTTTGGAGACTTCCTTTATCTGGAAAATGTTAAAACTACAAACTTCGGGACGCGTTTGATTCGCACATGTTTAGGCACTCAAATAGAGTAAAATTTATCCAAATAAGATGTCATGTACTGTAAATCACGTTTTATTCGCGAGAACTTTATTTTTGCGTGATTACGCGAGACAAAGGGCTCGCGAAATTTTCATTCTCGTGTTTAAAAGTATTCATAACAATTATATAGAGGAAAAACAAAAATTCGTGAGCATTACGTCTCGCTAATAAAGAGTCAATGACTATGATTCTCGCGAAAATAAAGTGTTGCAAAAATTTAGTGATCTACAGTAATCAAAAATGTCGTCTTCATTGAATACTTTGAAATATTCATGTCAAAATTATAACACTGAAGTTCTTGTTGAGTAGAAATAGACATTTCAAATTGTAAAGAACATAACCAGTTCCCTTTAAATCGTTTGAAAAAATATATACTTATAAATTTCCCAAATATACATACGATTCTTGAGATGGATGATAGTATCGTTCATTTTGGTAACGTCATTTTGCTGTGACTTTGTCAGTGCTTGGATCTCACTCCTCATCAGTTTTTGCTGCACATCCAAATTGGAAAGAGAAGACGATAGCCATGCTGTGTTATTGTGTACGTCAAATAAAGAAAGTAATAAATATCGGTCTTGTAGTTCCAGGACCTTATTTGTGGCAGACATATTCTTCATCATTTTTTTCTTCACTGTCTCTGATCTTCTCTATTTCAAATGTGAGGATGTTCTCCAGCCTCTTTAAGTCTTCTGATGTTATCAAGTTTTCCGGTTTTGAAGTAGAGTTCAATCTCTCAATCTGATCTTTCAGAATTAAATTCTCTCGAAGCAAAAATGTTGCTGTTGAATTCAGATTATTAAGTTTTTCATTCAAGAAGACATCAGGATTGGATAAAGAATTCAAGTTGTCTAGTCTTTCTCTCAAAACGGTGTTTTCACTTTGTACATTTAACAGTAAGTCCTCCAGGATTGTCATCTTCGTTTGAGCTGCCTGTTTCCACTGCTTCAGAGTTTGGATCTCTCTTTCTAATATGGTTTGCTTTTTTTCATATGTCATAGTTTGTTGTTTCTGATCCATCATTATAGAATTTAACACGGTCTCCAGACGAAGAAGTTGTTTGTACACATCAGGATCAGAGTGTCCATGAGGTGCCGAGGTAGCGTTAGTTTGTCCATGGAATAACAAACTATCTGCGTTCAAACATGTGTACAAAAGTACCATATAAGTGCTTTTAATCCCTTTCATTTTGGTGATTTGTGATAAAGCTCGATAATTCAAACAAGGTCAGTTAGATGGGTTTATCAAAAACAATTTTATTATCATCCGATGAAAGCATAATCGCATGCAAACTGTAATCTTTGGCCTATATTAAACATATCTGTTTAATCAATATTCCCCTATAAAAAAGATCCGGGGGTATTTATAGATTTTATCTTGTCCACCGATTTGTCTAGTTGTATTTCTGTCCACAGAATATTCAAACTTTCCCATAACTTTGTGTTTGATACTTTACAACAATTTTATTAAACTTTAAACTTAATGATAACTTTTCAATATGTGCACTATGAGGCACTATTACCCTTCCTTTGGATGCTGGACCGGACCTGCATTAATTGATTGTATGTTGTATTACGTCCCATTAGAGAATTTTTCGCTCATATAGAGACGTCACCATATAACGCCGAAGGGCTCAAAATGTTGACCTTTACTCAGCACTAAAGGCCATTGAGCAGTGAGGGACCAAACCATGCCAACACCTACCATGACAATGGACCTCGGTTTTTAAGGTCTCATCGAAAGGTCCGGATTGGTTATGATGTTAAATATTTTAGAGCATGTCCATTACCAAGAACCTATGTGAAACTATGTAAACCAAATTTGCATGGATGATGCATCAACAGATTAAAAACTCTCAAACTTGCTCCAAATACTCTATTCTAAATGAATGTTCCATTACGAAGTAACTGCAATCTCTATCTTGCATCTGAGAAACTTTAATCTTTGCCATAACATGTTATACGTTTCATTAACAGCAATGGCCAGTATGACTTTAAAAACCTAGACTTCCATCGTTTATCAAACAAATGAATTTGTTTGTCTTAGTGAGCATGAAAATAATAGAATTATGAAAACGCTTTCAGTAACGAAATGGATGTGGAAATGGTCTTTGTGCCTTTTCGATCGCCAGAAAACTTTCATTTTTTCAAGCCTAAAACTCCTCCTGTAGTATTCGTAGTAACCTATCATGCAATTCTCATTCAAGTGATTTGTCATATTGGTTCCTCATTTGCTAATCTGATGCCAAAAAATATAGTCCCCGTTCCAATGCAAAAATATTTTTCCAAAAAGAAATTTTAATTCATGACTGTAGAAAATTGTATCACAGAGCTCGAGAAAACCTACTGTGGTTTTATCAATTTTCGTTGAGCAACAATTTTCGAGGATTTCGTTGTTGAACAGATCCAAGAATTTAAATTTTCAATGAATTAAGAAATATATTATTCATTTTTATATGCAATTTTTTTTTTTCCGAAATAACGTATCCTCGAAAGCGTCTATTTTACAAAATACACGAGAAATGATGGCAGCGAAAATTGATGAAACCACGGTTTTTTAGTTTGAATGAAATCAAGATAGATCGTTTGAAGTACATTTCTAAAAATAAAATAGGGTGGTGAAAACTGAAACGCAACATATATTTTCTGTATACTATGTCTCAACGTGCTAGTTACTTCCTATCCACATTTCCGTGAATAATTATATAACCCTTTCTCGCCGTAGTTTCGGTAACTCTCGCCATAGCCATTGCCAGAGCTACTCTGAACTCATCGAGTTTTATGATTTGCAGAGCACCGAAAAACAAAAGGTTCCGAATACATCAGTAGGGGTGATTTGTATCTTTATTTATAGCAATAATGGACATTTTAGTGAATTTAATGACACTTGTTATAAACAAAAATTGATTGCATTGATTCCTTTAAATGATGTATCAAATCTCTCAAACATTTTTATTTTGACTGTAGAATTTTTATTAGCTTGTTTTTTTTTCTCACTGTCACTCTTATGAATCTAATACTGTAGTATATATTTTTAAAAAATTACAGTAAATAAAAATTTTCTGAAAAAAATTGGATGGGATGAAAAAATTAAACTTTATGCGGCTCAAATCAATTTTAGTTTCATAAATATGTACTTACATGTAGTTGTTAATCTAATGACTTTTGAAAAGAATGTTTATAAATTCTGTGCTTAACTAAATGTTCGAATTCATAATTTAACTAAGATAAGCAAAATTTTATAATTTTGTGGAAAAATGTGGATAATATATACATATTTTATAATCACAGAAAAGTTAATGTCAAGTAGGTGGATACTAAATATGTGTATTCTATGCATACCCTTATTCTTGTCTGTAACTGATAAACAATAAGTTTGGAATTCACAGTATTCACAGTAAAGGATTCAAGATAAGTCATACATAACTTAGTCTAGTATTTTAGTGTATTATTCTATTCAGTTGATCATAATCACAGAAAAGGTAGTGTCTGGAAACTCTGAGTACATAGTAGTACCAGTATACATTTCTATCCAGACTCTGTCCCCCACCTGTAACTGGTGAACAACAAGGTTGGAGGCAGACTGATAGACATCAGCATTAGAGTGTGTTACAACAGCCATGACTCCTGCCTTTACTACACCATTAATCTTTATTTTTGTCCAGAATGTATTATCACTGTTTGCCACAACAGTACAGAAGATGACGTAGAGCCCGGCTTTTGGGGCCGTAAACACTCCTTTGGTTGGGTTGTATCCACCTCCTACTTGGTATACGATTTTATCAAATACAATTATTTCTCCAGGAGTAAATGTTGGTCTTGAAAAGCTACGTCCAGCAGTGAAAGCGACTCTAGATTCAAAGCCTAAGAAGAGGAATCAAAGACAAATGATGTAAATACAGAACAAGAGGTCCATGGGCCACATCGCTCACCTGAGCACTGTGGCTAGGAAGTAGAAATTGGTTTATTATTGAAAAGTTTAAATCCTATTAAAGTAAACCTTTGACCAGTTATGGTTTTGCTATTCTTAAGAAGATGATTTTTAAAGAATTTTCTTATATATTTCTATGTAAAACATTAGTCCGCCATTGTGGCCCCGCCCTACCCCCGGGGGTCATGATTTGAACTTGAATCGACACTACTTGAGGATGCTTCCAAATAAATAGGATCAATTATGGCTTTGTTATTCTTGAGAAAATGATTTTTAAAGAATTTTCCTATATATTACTATGTCATGATGGGTCATGATGTGAACAAACTTGAATCGACACTACCTGAGGATGCTTCCATATAAATATGATTAATTATGGCTTTGTTATTCTTGAGAGGATTTTTAAAGAATTTTCCTATATATATATATATATATCTATGTAAAAGTTTGGTCAGCCATTGTGTCCCCGCCCTACTGCTGGGGGTCATGATTTGAACAAACTTGAGTCAACACTACCTGAAGATGCTTCCATATAAATATCATCAATCATGGATTTGTTATTCTTCAGAAGAAAATTTTTAAAGAATTTTACGATATATATCTATGTTAAACTTTGGTCGGCCATTGTGGCCCCACCCTATCCCCAGGGGTCATGATATGAACAAACTTGAATCGACACTACCTGAGAATGCTTCCATATAAATATGATCAATTATGGCTTTGTTATTCTTGAGAAGATTTTTAAAGAATTTTCCTATATATATATCTATGTGAAACTTTGGTCGGCCATTGTGGCCCCGCCCTACTCCATGATTTGAACAAACTTGAATCAACACTACCTGAGGATGTTTCCCCATAAGTTTCATCTTCCCTGGCACAGTGGCTCTTGATAAGAAGATTTTTAAAACATACCACCAAATTTTCATTAATTCCCAATTATCTCCCCTTGAATGAGGGCATGGCCCTTCATTTGAACAAACTTGAATTCCCTTCACCCAAGGATGCTTTGTGGCAAGTTTGGTTGAAATTGGCTTAGCGGTTCTTGAGAAGAAGTCAAAAATGTGAAAAGTTTACAGACAGACAGACAGACAGACAGACGGACGCCTGACAAAATGTAATCAGAAAAGCTCACTTGAGCCTTCGGCTCAGGTGAGCTAAAAACTTGCTTATAACAGTGTTATAAAAAAATCTTTGCTCTAAGAGATTTTATTTACATAGTCATCTCCTATATTGTTAACAAAGAAAACTTTGATCAGCAGTTATCGTAAATTCATTTGTCTTACATGTCTACATTGAATTAGCAAAAATGAGAGTCATTTTGTAGCAATGGAAAAGCAAAGGGCAGTAACTCTAAAATTTGCTTAAATTTTGTTGTCAAAAAATGGTGTAAAAAATAATCAAAAGGGTGGTAGTGTGTTACGGACTGATACAGTGAAACGACGACATGTACAGTCTTGAAAGTTTTTCAGAAACCTTTTTAAAGAATTACTGCAAGTGTATATCGATGAAAATAAATTAATGCATTGCATCGTTTTCATGGAAAAAAATAAAAATGAAATATTTCTTTCGAGAGAAAAAAATTGAATTTCTGAATATACACCAAGAAGACTTGATTTTTATAAAACAGTAAAGTAATTTTTATGAGAATTTGATCTAAAATATTTTTGAAAACCCTGTATTCAACGCCAAATCATGCTTGGTCACATGGTCTATCTTTGCCCGATAATGTTATTTGCCCTTTGCTGTCAGGATCCTTGCAAGGTGCAAAATGGTCACAACACTATATGAATATCTTGCTTTCAATAATTTAGTTTATTTTTACATTGTAGGAGTGACATAACAATGATGAGGGTCATACAAGGGGGGGGGGGTATTCAGTAAATGACAGTGTCAGCTTTTCACTTTTCATATTAATTGTGTTTAAAATCGAAGATTGTTTTCTAAATACAAAAATACACTCAAGAAATGATAACTTTTACTTGATAATTATATTTATAATATTATTACCCCCCCCCTTTTTTTTGAAGCCATTAGTTTATCCAAATTGAAACTACAGGTCAATTTGTTTTACTTAAAATAAGAAATAACTCAACAATACTTCAAATTAAATTTAGAAATTACAGTACATGTCATGTGTACAATCAAACAGAACTTTGTACATCACATCTGACTGAGAGAAACAATATCTGTATTGTATAAGTACGTTAATAAGACATTACTGGATCTAGATTTCAGTCATTTAACTTCTTGAACATGACTATAATCATGCAGTTACAGGATTTTCGATCATGATATTAAGTTTCTATCTTGCAAAGAATGAAAGAGGGTGAGAATGTTATCACACTTCGTACTTCAAATTTCTGGCAACCATAAAGTACTTTACATTAATTGAAGAATTGCAGCTTAGTAGATTTTGTCCATTTATTTTTTTTTTAAAAACGGCAATACTTTTTATTTCAAGATGAGAAAAGATGACAACAAAAAAAAAAAAATCATAACTTTTTTTATTTTTCAACCAATTTCGAAAAACGAAACTGTTTTGGAAATGGTTTTGAATGCTCTTAAATAAAAAGCATAGCTTTTTAATCTGAGAAGTGCTTTTAAAAATCATTTTCCATAGCTACATCATGTTGTATATACGCTTTGTCGGATCTATGCTACTGAGAGGACAAATATAATTTTAAGTTGTGAATGTTTATTTATTTATTTTTCTTTTAGGTTTATTCGTTTTATGATATAATCAATCAATTTGCTCACTTGGTAATTTGCATAAACAACAACCAAGGCGTAAAATTATCGCAAGAGCAAACAGATAGATTATGATATTAACACCCCCAGCAATCGACGGCCCACAAAACACAAAATAAAAACTACCATCACCAATTTATTTTGTCCTTACATTTTCATCTGATCCTTGTTTGATAAACATGATAATTCAATAACGAAAATCTGTGTTGGTCCCTCCTCCACTGAATAAACAACACAACTAGGAAACATTGAGTTCTGTCACCTGCTGAGTACCGGTAAATCGTTTTATGAAGAAAAGCTACTACGTTATTTATACAATGTACGTAGTTTTATCTCGGACAAAGAAATTTGAAAATGTAAATATTTAATTAAGTTATACAGCACATATACATGTAGATAAGAAATCTAAATGTATTGTATGCCAATGCAGGTATATATTAGTATTTTACTACATGTATTTTCATTTACGGATCTTTCATATCGTAGTTATAGGAAACTTGATTTGAATGTTGGTGTAAATGTGTGATGTGAATATTCTTATAAACAAACAACTGTTAACGAGTCTTTCTAACCACCTAAGAACTTGATATGCCCCCCCCCCCCAATTAAGTGTAGGTGAAACTTGAAGGTTCCCAATTCAACTACAGTAACTATGATTTGACTCATGATGCTTATTGATTGAAAACTCAGACACGTTAACTTGAGAAGTATGATTAGATTCGATAAATAGTCTATGTGTTAAAGGAAAATTAAAAAAAAAAAACAATTTAGATACATACTATTTTGGAGACGGGAAAGGGAAGCATTCATATTAGCGGCGTGACTATTCTGTGAAAGCTCCAACTTTCTGATTTCAATGTCTGTCATCTTTTGCTGTTCTTCGAAGTGGGACAATAAGGACTTTAATGTCGATGTGTTATTATATACATCCATCAGAGAAAGAGTTAAATATCGGTCCCGGAGTTTCAGGTCCCTGATTGTGACAGATATATTCTTCATCATTTCCTGTTCTCTGTCGCTGACTGTTTGCTCTATCTCAAAGGTTAGGATGTTCTCCAATCTTTTCAAATCTTCAGTAGTTGTGGCATTTTGTTGTGAGAGTATATATGTAGCATTCAAAGAGTCTAGTTTGTCTTGCAGAATGGTATTGTGTTGTTGCAGCTTGGAATTTCGTTCCACTAATAATGTAGATGTGGAATTTAACAAGTCCAAATCGTTTTTTAGATTATTTATAACATTTCTGACGTCCATTTGCATGGAGGCTGCTTTCATTTGCTCTGTTAAATTAACGTTCATCACCTTCAAGGCTTGTATCTCGGCTTCAAAATACCTTTGTTGATGTTGAGATGTCTGTTTTAGTTGTTGGTTCTCTTTTTTAACGGAAGCTAAGTCTATAAGCACTGAATTTAAAACTGTCTCCAGATGAAGAAGTTGTTTGTATACATCAGGATCAGAATGTCCATTAGATGGTGATGTGGCATTGGTTTGCCCATGGAACAACAAACCATTGGCATTAAAAAATACACACAGAAGCACAAGAAAGTCGATTATGCACCAAGGCATTTTCGTTAATTGTGATAAATGAAGGTGAGTCGCTTACATGTAGCTTTGTAATCATTAAACAAACAAGATAATGTTATATATTGTATCTGATGGTATGTATGATATTATATTATATAAAAAGCGTATGTGATGAAGCTCATCTCGATTTCATGCCAATTTTTCCGTTTGTGTACATCTTGAAATTAATATTCATGTCAGTTTGATTTAAATAGGGCATATACATTTAGTTACTCGGGAAAAGAATAGACCTGTTTCAAAACATTTAACATGTTCACTCATCACTAAAACGTAGATTATAGTTCCAATATCCGAAGCATGTTCGGTAGTGTCCATCACTTGTCACATCATCATTGCAAGTTTCATCACTACAGGAAACATAGTCATAGAACTGCTACAAAACATGTCTACGGTCAGTCATTTGGATAACATCTAATAGATTAGGTCAAAGCAATCATCCGAAGCAAGTCTGTTAGTGTCCGGCCATACTTAGCTAGATGCTTCATCATAGCAAGTTTAGTTAAGGTAGGTCATACAGTAATTTTGGAATGGACATGCTCTAAAAAAATAATATTCTTGTCATTTGTTAAAGAAATGTAGATCAGATCCAGCATCTGAAATAAGTTCGATAGGGATGGGCAGATTAACCACAAGAGAAGTGATGTACAACATGCAGTGGGCGACCTAACAGACAATGGCGAAAGGCCCATCAGCATGTGTGAGGAAAATGACTTTGTCATAGGTTGTAGTTTCTTAAAACCATCCACAAGCTGACCTAGACATCAGCAGGTAGACGCACCAAGAGTCAGATTGACCACATTTTGATTAAGAGTAAATGGAGGCACTCTCTGCAGGACGTTTGGACAATGTACCATGCCGACATCACCACAATCTTGCCACCATTTGTCTTAAGCTAAGAAAGGGCAAGATGGTACTAGTAACATCAATTGATTTGATATCAGCAAGCTCAAGGAAACAGGTGTCAGAGAAAAAGTTAACATCACACCCAGGAACCGATACAGCACACTTCAGGATGAGACAGATAGCTATTACTATCGACCAATTCTGCGAATCCATAAATGATGCTGCTGCAGAAGACATAGGCTACAAAAGATGTGTCAAATCGAAACGGTTATCCAAAGACACGTGGTCTACCATTGGAGAGAGGAAACAACTAAAGAAGAATCTCTCTGATGCAAAGTCACCCAGATTGAAAGAAAGGGGTAGCTGTAAATAACCTCCACTATACGGAGCAACTCGCCGAGGAAGCACAGGAAGCTACTGAAAGAAAACATGATAACAATCTACCAGTGAGATCACAAACTAAAAGGTGATCAAGGTCCCAAGCAAAACACCCCTGTAAAAGCAGAAGATGGCTCAGTGAAAACAGAGAAATTGGCAAAACTAAAGAGGTGGAGAGAACATTTTCAGCAGATTCTGAACCGACTGTATATCCATCAATACTTCTTGACATTGAAAAGGCAGGGACAGACCTTGAGGTAGAAATGGGCTGCATTACGTTGAATGAGGTAAAACACGTATAAACTAGAAAATAGAAAAGCCGCAGGAGAGGATGGTGTATGCCCTGAGAAGTTGAAAGCAGGAGGAAAAGAAACACTTTACATGCTGTAGCGTATGCTCCAAGATATATGAAATAAAGAGGATATTCCAGATGACTAGAAGAAAGGAGTGATAATCAAGCTGCCCGAGAAAGGTGCCCTTGGAGACTGCAAAAACTGGCGTGGGTATAACTTCTCTCTCTCTCACCAGCAAGGTCTTCAGCCACATATCATGCAACAACGCATTAGAGTCGCTGTAGGTTACATACTTCGCCAGGAACAGGCCGGTTTCAGAAAAGGAAACCCTGTGTTGGTGATATTTTTGTACTTCGACAGACACTGGAGCAGAAATGTGAGTGGGATAGCACACTCTATGCTGTATTCGTTGATTTTAGATGGCTTTTGACAGCTTTCACCACAATACTCTCTGGAAGATCCTATGTCACTACGGCATCCAACAGAAACTGGTTCATATTATCCAGTCCCTCTACGAGAACTTTGAGTGCCGAGTGATACATAACAACTAGCTCACGGAGTCCTTTGCAGTGAACACCGGAGTGCCATTCTCCCTTGCAATTGACTGAAATATGAAAAACACCACACAAGGTAAAAGACAGAGATTAATATTACAGTGGACACTGACCTCAATCCTCGAGGACCTGGATAATAATGATGACCTTGGCCTCCTATCAAACAGACATCAGGATATTCAGCAGAAGACAGAGCTCCTCAGTGCAACATCTAACAAAATCGGATTGAAGTCAACATCGAATTCGAAAGACACAGGATTTACAAGTAAACACCACTAACAGTAATCCAGTACTGATCGATCAACGGTAAGCCACTAGAGGATGTTGAAGAGTTCACATGGCTTAATATAGCAAGATCTCCACAACGGGCGACCGCGACAATAAAATATGGCACCAGGATTAGCAAGACAAATCAGGCTTTTGCAATGATGAAACCCATATGGAGATCCACGTCACTTAACATCCACACCATGCAAGATCAAGATCCTCAACAACAATGTCCTAGGTGTCCTCTTGTATGGATCAGAGTGCTGGAAAACCTCTTTGGCGTTTGAAAGAAAACTAAGTATTCCAAGCTAAATTCCCCGGACGTATTATCAAAATCTTTTGGCCTAACACCATATCAAATGAAGAACTATTGGAAAGACCTTGGATGCCTACAATGCAGACCATGGAGACAAAACTGAAGCTGGCGATGGTTTAATTGTTGGTCTCATGTCCCGTGCATGCCTTCCAACTTAAGGTAAGTCACTCCTGAAATTTGTTATATCAAGGATTTTTTGAGAAGTATATTTTGGATAAGTACTCATAAAGTGTAACTCAAAAGCGCAAAGAAAATAGGGGGTCAGTGTGCATCCTACTGATCTACGGTACATTTAAGTTGACCTTTTTGCACTTAAATTTCATCTCTTTGGTTAATTACTTTAACCCTTATTATATTTGATCAAATGTAAGCATGGCAATAAATATAATCTTATTTTACGTAATATGGTTTGAATAATATTTATCATTAAACAACTCTTGCAAATTAATGCGCGTAAATTATTGTGTGCCCTTTTTGCACTAAAAAATAACATTTTTCGGGTATTAAAAACTTAATAGGCAATAAAAAATTTTCTTATATTAAACTTTTTACGATTTTAGTGCTGATCAGTCACAAGTATCGAGTAGTTTAAAATAATGAAAGAAAAAGGTGGGGTCAGTGATGTTAATTTTGAAATATTTGTCAAAATATGTGATTTTCAGGCAAAAAATAATGTAAATTTGATCTTGACTTCTTTAACATATTTTCATTTTTTGGATAAGTACATTGTATGTTGAGGGAAGGTGTTAAACTTAGTCTAAAAACATAAATTAAGACCTACATTAAATATTTTTAGCAATATCAAAACGGAAAATATTCTCCGAGTAAAAGTATGTGAGGCTAAATTTCCATAACATTAAATTAAAAAAAAAAAATGTGCAGATTTGCAGAAATTTCTGCTAAATATCCTTCCACCAAAAGAAATAGTCCCTCATAAATCTTGCTTCTTTGTAGATTTTAAGGCAGTTTTTTCATTGAATGTTAAAAAATTTACATTGTTGAATTTAAATATCTTATAAAAATTGAATTTTAATAAGTAGTTTTGAAGTAAAAGCTTCTGCGTGAACTTTTTCTAAAAAGCTGACGAGTGACTTACCTTAATGCCCAGAGTTGCCCTTAGATGCATGGACACCCCAGGGAAAAAGAAACAGATGTCGGTCAAAGGAGACATAAAGAAGAACTTTCTTCTCATAGACCTGAAGAACAGAGGTCTGACCATGGAGACAGCACCACGAGTAACCATGGTAACTGCAGACCGAGCTAGGTTGAAATCCCTTGTAGCCGCTTCAAGCACCTGCTGGCGCAAAGAGGAAAATTTCACGAACTTTAATAAATCATTTGAAATATGGTAAACTCATTTATTTCTTTTAAATAAGCGTAATATATTTATGAGGAGGGGACTATGTGATTTTTAAATGTGGTGCGACTTATTTTATTTTTTTCACATTTTAAAAAATCAGTAATCACACTACTCGTCAATTCAATGCGATACACATTTGGTAACATTTTCAGTATCAACGTTAAGTTTTTTTTTAATTTAGGTCTAAGTGTATAAAAAGGAGTAGTCGAATCTTTTATCCGAATTGCCTTAGGAGCGAATTGTGTAGACACCCATAGTTTGAGGCGCGTTGCTGCTGTAAACATCCGTTTACAAATATTGAAATAAACACGTATGTTTCGAGCCACTGAATGGTATGGGGAGGTAACTTAAACACGAATGTTATGAGTGACACTCAGCTAGAAAACAAGGTAATTAACAATTTTATTTGTTTCTCTTAATTGATAATAAATTCAGGACATGTCGAGAAACAACAGAGGAAACGCTGGTTAGCTGTGAAACATTGCATTGTTTTACGATATCTTTTAATCTATGAGTGTTAAGTATTTTTTCAGATAGGCTTAGTTAATTTATAGGAAATTACTACTCTGTTCAACAAAGCAGTTAAAACTGATTTATATCATAATAATACTATGAAACCAAAATAAAATAAGTTTAGAAAATGAACATACTGTATGATGAATATCCTGGCGTATTGTATTTTCGACCTATTTAGATGTAATTTATTAATTTATTGCAAACTTTATAGAAGCTGAAAAACTATGGGCTTAAAATGT